TAAATAAATTTGCATGGACCCTTAGCAGATGCCCTTCAATGTCAACCTCGGGCACTAGTCCTATGTGTATATCGCAATGTGAAGAAGAAAATGAGCCATCAAACCAAAAGGAATTGATAGAATAATAATCAGAAATGTTGGCATTCAGGGCTCAATTGCTCATGCTTGGGTTGTGTGACACTTTGCATATGTGCAGGGAGAAAGGAAGAACAGAAGGATTGCTTGGCTATGAACATGCAAGAGCCATGATGCTTCTGCGTTGTGCATTCTCCAAGGCTTTCACAGCCGGGAGCCAATGGCTCACCAGAGCACAGACAGAGTTCTGACTCCTGTCCTCTGAAGATGCTGGCCACAGAGACTGGTGAAACATTAGGAAGAACAATCTCCAGAAGACGGCCAGACAGCCCAAAAAACCTGCAACAACTATCAGATCCCAGCCGTGAAACCCTTCGAGAATGCAAACACATTTTCATTTTCACTTTTTGTCATTTATCATGTTGTTGTTCGAAATCCAGAATAAGATACCACATCTCTTCAGTAGTTTGTGCACACTGTAGTGCCCACACCACCACAGCAGTGAAAAGCAAATGAACGATGAATGGAAAGAAGAGGCCTGTCTCCCCACTGAACCTTTGGCCTATGAGTGGCAGACTTTTTTGAGAGAAAAATATTTGAGGGAATGATCCGGAGTGAGGAAAAAAGTCACAATTTTTCCTCGACCCCACCACTTTTCCTCATCACGCTGGACCCTGCTGAAGATTCTTTTTTTCCCAGAGGTGGAAGAAGGACCTTTCTAGCTTTCTTCAGCATATTCATGAGGATGCAGGACTCTGCTTTTCTGAATAAAACAACTACCAACCTGATAAGCTTTTCTTTACAATTAAAGGAATAATAATCTGAGAACTACAGAATGCTGCAATACTCTCTCTTTATGGACAATAAGCAACCCATTTTATTTCTGACCTAAATGACCTCCTTGGGTGACAGAAGGAGCCTTCTTGGTTCTGTTGGACCAAGGATCAAGAAACCTCAATGGAGGCAGGCGACTCTAGTGTCACGGGGGTAGTGAATCCATCCAATGCTTTATCACAGACCCGAAAGGAGTTTTCCAAGGTGCCGGATCGGAAGGTCTAGGGTTCAGTATTTTGCATTGCTTCTATAAAGTTCATACTGAGACCTTGAGCAGCGCAAGTCTTGTCTCTTCCTGACAATAATTACCACCCTCCGCTGCTTAACCTTTAATTACTTTCTCTTGAAGGTTGGGATCTTTAGCAAGTCATCGTCATTGCAGTCCACTAAGAAATGTAAAAAGTGACAAGGACAGAGGGGGCAGGAATGTTTGTCACAATGAAAAATAGGTCAGTTGGTTTTTTGACTTAAAAGTAACATCTTCTTGATGATGCAGTCAGCTTCCTCTTTTTGAAAGATGAATCAATATGCTTTGAAATGCGTTTTCCTCGGGATTGGTGGGTGGGAGCAAGAATGGTGGGGGAGGTAACTGTGCCAGCACCCGGGCTGCTAATTCACTTTACATTATTGTTTTACCTCACACAGTCCAATTACCTCAAGTTATTTCACTGTCCCACCACTCACTGTGCGAGTGGCAACGAAATAATTGCAGGCTGTAAGGGCATCAAGATGTTTCACCCACAGGAGCACCAG